TGTGGAGACTCCTTGTCGCGTTCCTGCTGGCCGCCGAGGGTAAAGCCCAGCACCCGGGCAGGGGCGGGCAGGGCTACGGGGCACCTTGACGGGCTCCTGGCAAAGCCGGAGAACGAGGCTCCCAAGCCGGGCAAATCTTTTGCGGTTGGGTTCTTCTGCTTCCTTCAGCTGGGCCGGGGGGCTCTCCTTTCTCCAGGGCCGCTGAACCTCGCTCCCAAGAGTTGGGGGGCCTGGCTCTGGCCAGCCCTTGGCGGGTGAAGGGCTGTTTAGGCAAAGCAGGCAGGGGTGTGTGTAGGGGGGTAAGGGGGTGTCAGGCTGCTGTGGAAGCAGACACACCGGCTCCCTTTGCACAGCTCCAGGCATGGAATTGGCGTTTGCAGAAGGGGGGGTAGCAATTGGGCAGTGGCTACCCCCGAAATCTTTAGCCGACTCTTTGCGCAAGGTTGACTAGTATTTCACTGAGTGTGTGAATGTGTGTGGGGGTGTCTTCACTCTCATGTAGAGAGTGAGTGGCCAGGAAGACCAAGGCAACTCCGTGTGACTACCTGGTGTGATTTTTCCCCCCTTCTGCACAGCCCACGGCTGCGGGGATCCCTCCTACTCCCCCGTCCGAACCGGGAGGGTAGTCAATGGAGAAGAAGCTATTCCTCACAGCTGGCCCTGGCAGGTAAGTGAGGCGACACCCCCCCATTCCAAATAGCCCCACCAGAAAGGCAGGGAAAAGAGGGGGGGGCTTCTCTGCCCCCCCCAGCAGAGATCATGAACTGCTAATGCAGCACACTCCGGAGGGAGAGAGAAAGGTCTGGGGGGGGAAGGGTTGACAGTAACAGCCCACCCACCTCTTGTTTGCTGCAGGTGTCCCTGCAGTACCAGTCTGGTGACTACTTCTACCACACCTGTGGGGGGAGCCTCATCCACCCCAACTGGGTGATGACCGCCGGACACTGCATCTTGTGAGTCCCTTCGGGCACCCCGGGGCTGGGGCTGGGGGACTCGGCGCAGGACGGGCAGAGGAACCCCTCTGCCCCAGCCTTTCCTGGGGGAGGGAGGTGCCTCTGCTCACCGAGAGGGCTGAAGCAGGTCCAGCCCCCCCCCCGATCTCACCCCGCTGCCCCCTCCCATCAGTCCACAGTATCGCTACAGGGTCGTCCTGGGTGACCATAACCTGTTCACGGATGAGAGCTCAGAACAGTACATCCTGGTTAACCCTGGGGACATCATCGTGCATCCCGGCTGGAACCCCAACTGCATCTCCTGCGGGTGAGTAGAAGCACCCCTGCGGCAATGGAGGCAGAGGGGGGGGGGTGTCTTCTTGCAAAGGAAGTCCCAGGTGAGGAAGGAAAAAGTCCCCCCCTCCAAAAAAAACCTCTGGCACTTCTTCCAGAGATGACATTGCCCTGGTCAAACTCTCCCGCCCGGCTGTGCTCAACGACAAGGTGAAGCTGGCCTGCCTGCCCCCACGAGGAGACGTGCCCCCCAACTATGATCCCTGCTACATCACTGGCTGGGGCACGCTTTACAGTAGGTCCTGGCTGGGGGGGGGAGGTGGGCACGGGAAGGTGGGTGCTGGAAAGAGGGAAGCCATTCGCCGAGTGTCGTTTCTCTTGCAGCTGGAGGCTCCATCCCTAGCAACCTTCAGCAGGCGCTGCTGCCAGTGGTGGATTACCCCCACTGCTCCCAGCCAGACTGGTGGGGAACAACGGTAAAGGAGACCATGGTGTGTGCCGGTGGGGACATCAAAGCTGGCTGCAACGTGAGTAGAGGCTCGTAGGAGTCTAGGGGAGACAGTCTGGGGTTCAGAGATGTGTGCTGAGATCCGGGCAGAGGAAGCTGGAAACTCCTTTCCTGGATTAGCAGGCCTGGCACTGCCACCCCGCTGGCATTGCGGGGAAATAATAATAATAATAACAACAACAACAACAACATAACACCCCAGACTTAACAATTGTCGATAAGAAAGGCAAACAAGTCTGGAGACTGGACGTGGCAGTGCCTGGAGACAGCAGAATAGAAGAGAAAGAACTGGAGAAGATAACAAAATACAAAGACCTACAAATAGAAATAGAAAGACTGTGGCAAAGGCAAGCAAGGGTAGTACCAATAGTCATAGGCGCCTTGGGTGCAATCCCAAAACAACTGGAGCACCACTTGAACACCACTGGCATTGACAAATTCGCTATTAGTCAATTGCAAAAGGCGGCCTTATTAGGAACTGCTTCCATCTTATGACCATATCTGTAATACCATCAAACATCCCCATCTGCCTATCCCAGGTCCTGGGTAAGGACTCGATAGGTAGACAAAAATGCCAAATCCAGCCTGAACATCTGGCTGACTGTTCAATGATCCATAATAATAATAATAGTGATAATAATAGTAATAGTAATAATAATAGCTGGAAGGGATCTTGGAGGTCATTTAGTCCAACCCCTGCTCAGGCAGGAAACCCTATACCATTTCAGACCAATGGCTGTCCAGTTTCTTCTTTAAAACTTCCAGTGTTGGAGCATTCACCGCTTCTGGAGGCAGGTTGTTCCACTGGTTAATTGTTCTCACTGTCAGGAAGTTTCTCCTTAGTTCCGGGTTGCTTCTCTCCTTGATTAGTTTCCATCCGTTGCTTCTTGTCCTGCCTTCAGGCGCTTTGGAGAATAGCTTGACTCCCTCTTCTTTGGGGCAGCCCCTGAGATACTGGAACATGGCTATCCTGTCCCCCCTCGTCCTTCTCTTCGTTAAACTAGACATACCCAATTCCAGCAACTGTTCTTTATATGCTTTAGCCTCCAGTCCCCTGATCGTCTTTGTTGCTCTTCTCTGGACTCTTTCCAGAGTCTCAACATCTTTTTTACATCGTGGTGAACCAAAACTGGATGCAGCATTCTGGCCCTTCCAGCTTTGTGTGTCTGGGCAAAAGGCTCAGTTGCTGGAGAAACCATTCCGAGAATCCTGTCCCTGAGCAGGGGGGGCTCTGTAAGCAGCAGCCACTTCCAAGAGAGACGGGATTTGCACGGGCTGAGGAACGCCCTTGTCCTGCCGCTCACAAGCTTTTCAGGCAGCTTAGGGAGATAAAAAAAAAAACACCCCAGCAAGCTTCTGAGGATGAACTGCCTATTTCAGGGTGACTCCGGGGGGCCCCTCAATTGCCCAGCTGCAGACGGCCGGTGGTACGTTCAGGGAGTGACCAGCTTCGTCTCGGCATGGGGCTGCAACACCTTGAAGAAGCCCACGGTCTTTACCCGGGTCTCGGCTTTCATCCCCTGGATTGAGCAGGTATAGCCCAGTCCCCATATCGGGGGGGGGGGGTGAGTGGGATGGAGAGCCCCCCTGCCCAGTTGCTGCCCCCTTCGGAGTTCCTGGTGTCCGTCCCTTTGCCTCCAAGCGGGACAATCGGTTCGACGTTTGCGCTTGAGTGATGCCGCGGTCTTCAAAACGGCCTTCTCCTTTTCCACCTGCCCAATCAACAGCCTCTGTCCCCTTTGGGTCAGGGAGAGAAAGCCAGCCTTGTGGGTCAGGCCATTCTTGCACACTCCACCAACAAGCGCCCTCGCACGCTCCCTAATCCCAGGTCGTTGCTTTTTGCCTTGCAGGTCATTTCCAGCTATTCACCTTAAGCAGAAAGGGCTGGCATTTCCAGATTGAGTTCTTTGTGTGTGTGTGTTAAAAAAAAAAACAACCACCACAATAAACGTCTTCCTGATGGCAGCACGGTTGTCCTTTTGTTGGTCCGGTTCAAATCCTCTCCTCTCCGCTGTCATCCAGGGGGTGCCACTGTGTTTGGGGGGGACACACACGCCACAATGGGGCGTCAATTTCCTGATCTCTTCACCCTCTCTGAGCCGGGCGGATGAAGGGTGCAAAACTCTGCAGAACTACGCCGGGGTGATGCCTGCAGAAGCTCACCAAAGGTTCAAACGCAGGGGAAACCTTTTACTAGCTTTTAAAGAGGGTCACTAGTCAGGACACGTGTTCCGTTGTCAAAGGAGTAACGGGACAAAGAGTTCCCGTGTCGGAGGCCCACGACAAGCATAAAGAAAAGGCGGGATATAAATAAATACACAAATACACTTTTAAAACCCCATAAATTTAAGGAGGAGAGAGAGAGCTAAATCAAGAAGCTTCATTTCCGAATGCCAGGAAATAACTCATCTGCTCTTCTTTTTTTATGAAAATATATACCCCTCTTGGGGGTTAATTTCTACACAGACCACCTAACACGTGTGTTTCATCTTCTTGATGGCCATAAATCTCAAGCTGGTTCCTCTAAGCCAGTGGTTCTCAAGCTTTTTAATGCCACGACCCCAACCGGTCGTAAGCCGAGGACTACTCAACTGGCGCAGCACCGTTTGCAGAATGGGACTTTTGGCGGGCTCAGGAGGGCAGAGACAGCCTGGACAATTCCTATTGGCTTTGGAAAGCCAATAGAATTAGACTCTGTTCAAGAGAGTCTATTCTATTGGCTTTCAAAAGCCAATAGAATAAAAGGGAGGAGCACAGCTAAGGAAAAGGGGGGGAAAAATGGCGGACTGCGTTGTTTGGCGACCCCCGTGAAATGGTCGTTCGACCCCAAATGGGGTCCCGTCCCACAGGTGGAGAACCACTGCTCTAAGCTCAGAGAGAGGGGGGAGGGAGGAGAGAGGGAGAGAGAGAGAGAGAGAGAGAGAGAGGGAGGAAGGCAGGGAGGGAGGGAGGGAGGGAGGGAGGGAGGGGGAGGGACAGAGAGGAGGAGGGAGAGGGGGAGAGAGGGAGGGAGGGAAAGGGAGGGAGAGATAGAGGAAGAGGGAGAGAGGGAGGGGGAGGGAGAGGGAGAGATAGAGGAAGAGAGGGAGGGTGGGAGAGGGAGGTGAAGGGAAAGAGGGAGAGGGAGAAGGGAGGGGAGGGAGAGAGGAGGGAGAGGGGGATGGAGAGAGGGAGGAAGAGGGGGAGAGAGGGAGGAAGGGAGGGAAGGGGGGGAGAGGGAGAGAGAGAAATCAACACCACACTAAAGAAGAGGAAGCATCTCTTACCTTTCCTCGCTGGTCTTTCTCTCTCTGTGGGCCGGCAGGGGAAGGGGCTGGGTGGGGGGCTCAGAAGGCCAGACGGAAGCTGCATTTGGGGTCAGGGGCCGCTTGTGGACCTCTCTGCCGGGACAGTCACCAAAGGCTCCTGTCACAAAGAAGGATAAACAAGTTCACCTGAGCGACTGATCGATGGCCTTCGGGGAGTCTACAATACACCTGGATTGCTACCAAACAGGACCTTCAGGGACCCCCACCCACTTTTTCACAAGATGCTTCAGACAGGCTGTCCTAATTTGGGGGGTGGGGCACCTCTGGATGTTCTCCCCAAAGCCGGAGATGTGAAACACACCCAACCGGGGTCCGATCCACAGAGGCAGTCAGAACGACCCCCTTCATATTAAGCCCTTTGGACAAATAATTACGCTGATTGGGGGGGGGGAGTTGTGACTCCCCCCTCTGGCGGGGGGGCATGAGGCTGGCTTGCACAGAGGCAGCCCCCCCTCAAGACAACGCATGACTGATGCCCAACATCCAAAGTGGTTCCTGGGTGTCTCCCCTACAGCTACCTGGAGGGACGTGTTTCCGTTAAGTTTATTCTCTGCTGGAATAGACGCTTACACAGGCAGTCCTCAGCTTACGACCGCGACGGAGCCCAACATTTACTCAGTTGCTCGGCGAGAAATTTGTGAAGTGAGTTTTGCCCCATTGTACGACTTTCCTCGCCACGTTTGCAAACCGAACCCCTGCAGTAACACGATCGTTAAGTGGATCTGGTTCCCCCGTGGAAGGTCGCAAAAGAGATCACGTGACCCGGGGACACAGCGACCGTCGTAAATAGGAGTCGGCTGCCCAGCATCCGAATGTAAATCACGTGATCGTGGGAATCAGCGTGGAAAATGGTCCTCAGTCCCCTCTTTGTAACTTTTGAGTAGTCACTACTCTAGGGATCTTCAAACGTGGCCCTTTTATGACTCGCGGACTTCAATTCCCAGAATTCCTCAGCCAGACACGCTGGCTGAGGAATTCTGGGAGTTGAAGTCCACGAGTCATAAAAGGGCCAAGTTTGAAGACCCCTGCGCTAAACTAACTGTTGTAAGTGGAAGGCTACCTGCACACATGCACACCTGTGCAGGAATGGCAGGTACACAGAGGTCATTTAGTCCACCCCAAAGGTATTGAAGGAAACACAAATGGCCCTGTGCATTGGGGGAGGGTGGACCGAACAACAGGGAGGAGATGGCAGACACCAGGGAAAAAAAGAGTTTTTCTCCTGTTCCACAGGACCCCAAAGCCCACTCCTCATGCTTTAACTCAGTGGTTCTCAACCTGGGGGTCGGGACCCCATTTGGGGTCGAACGACCACTTCACGGGGGTCACCAAACAACGCAGTCCGCCATTTTTTCCCCCCTTTTCCTTCGCTGTGCTACTCCCTTTTATTCTATTGGCTTTTGAAAGCCAATAGAATAGACTCTCTTGAATAGAGTCTAATTCTATTGGCTTTCAAAAGCCAATAGGAATTGTCCAGGCTGTCTCTGCCCTGCTGAGCCCGCCAAAAGTCCCATTCTGCAAACGGTGCTGCACCAGTTGAGTAGTCCTCGACTTACGACCGGTTGAGTAGTCCTCGACTTACGACCGGTTGGGGGGGGTCGCGGGATTAAAAAAATTGAGAACCACTGCTTTAACTGAACCGCATTGGCATCTTGGATCTACTTGCTTTGAGCACTGGGGGGGGGGCCTAAGACAGACGAGACCGCCGGTGAAATCGGGGCTCCGACAGAAAGAGGGTTTCCCGCACGGGGAAAGGAGGACAAGGAACCGGAGACCCCCAAATACCTCCACAGGGCGGGTTGCGCCCACGTGGTGTTCACACCCTTTCCAGATTTACACAGCTTGCCAAGTTAAGTCGTTCTGGGCAAACAGAAAAAAACGCACACAACCCGTGTTACATAAGCCGCCCCAAACAAAGGCTGGATCGTGTGATGACGGGCGAATTCCAAGCAAGGGGAAAAAAAATCAGGGTGGTTTTTGCACCCCAAATGGTTCTGGGCTGGGTCTGCCAGGAATACCCTTGGGAGCCAGTCCAGAAATCCCTCTTTTTTTTTCCTGGAGGGGATGGGAAAAAGCGGTGGCGATCGGGCCCTGTCGAAGGGAAAGAAATGTCTCTTCCCCAGGCCAACTTGGCGGCTTCTGGCCTTGGCGGCGTCTGGCCAAGGAGCCAGCTGTTGCTGTCCCTGGGGAAACGGCCGGCTTGTCAGGTCGTGGCTGACCCTGCCGGAGCCGTGGGCACCGTCACATCTGTGCCCAAGGTCCCTCTGGATGCTGTGGGGGGTATTTAAGGCTGGAGGTGCCCAAACGCCGCTCGGAAAAGATGCTGACGCTGCTGATTTCCGTCCTGTTGGTGGCTGGTGGTAAAAATGCATCCCCTGCCCCCCTGGGACCCCCCCCCCGGGTCTCCTAGCCCCTTGGCCTTGCCTCGGAGGAAAAGATCAGAAGCCTCTGCTCCTCGGAGGGCTAAGCCCCCAGCCTCCCTGCCTGGGGGTCTCAGTCCCCTCTCTTCTCTTCCGCAGCTGCTGGGTGTGGGCGGCCAGCCTACCCTCCCCACAGCCGGGTGGTGAACGGCAAGGACGCTGCACCTTACAGCTGGCCCTGGCAGGTAAGGCAGCCCCCCCCCAGCAGCGCAAAAGGGCACCCACAGGCGAAGCTCTCCGTTGAGCCCAATGGCCCAGCCCGGCTGGCCATTGGGCTGCCCTTCCAGCGTCCCCAGGGAGGGGCTGAGAAAGCCTGGCCCGGCTGTGGAGCTGGCTGGAGCAGGGGTCCTTGAGGGTGAGGTCCCCCCTTCCCGGCGGCGTCTCCCTCTCTGGCTTCCTGCAGATCTCCCTCCAGTACGAGAGAGATGGGGTCTTCCGGCACACCTGCGGAGGGACCCTCATCACCCCCGACTGGGTGATGACAGCTGCCCACTGCATCTCGTAAGTGGCTGGGGCACTGCTGGAGCCTCGCCCTCCCTTTTCTTTGGGGAGCCTCCCCTCCCCCTTTTTCTCCTTGGAGCCCCCAGGGGTCCATCTTGGTTCTGAGCTGGGGCACTGGGTCAGGCCCCTCCTTCCTTCCTTCCAACTTTTCTTCTTTCTTCTTTCTTTCTGTCTTTCCTCCTTCCTTCCTTCTCTTTTTTCCAATTCTTTTCTTCTTCCTTCCCATCTCTTTTTTTCTTTTTTCTTTCCTTCCTTACATTTTTTCTCCCTTCCGTTCCTTCCATCTCTTTTCTCCTTCCTTCCTTCCAACTCTTTCCTTCCTTCCTTCCTTCCTGCCTGCCTGCCTTCCTTCCTTCCATCTTTTCTTTTCTTCCATCTTTTCTCCCTTCCGTTCCTTCCATCTGTTTTCTCCTTCCTTCCTTCTTTCTTCTTTCTTCCTTCCTTCGTTCCATCTTTTCTTCTTTCTTTTCTTCCATCTTTTCTCCCTTCCGTTCCTTCCATCTGTTTTCTCCTTCTTTTCCTTTTTCCAACTCTTTTCTTCTTCTTTCCACCTCTTTTCTTTTTTCCTTCCTTCCTTCCTTCCTTCCTCCCTCCCTCCCTCCCTCCCTTCCTCTTACCCTGTTCCTATAGGGCCAGTTTTCCCTGCTTTCGTCCTTTTCAGCCTTGCCACCCTGAGGTCAGAGCTCCTGGCCCTGCTTAGGCTCTTTTTCCAAAGAAGACCCCTCCTGTCTGAAGGGGATCCAGACCCTGTCAGAGCACACTCCTCTGAAAGCCTCTGAAAGCCAGGGGGGGGATTTCTTTCCCAGGAGATCCCGCACGTACAAGGTGGTGCTGGGGGAGTACGACCTCACCGTCGAGGAAGGGCCTGAGCAGCACATCCCCATCAAGCCCGAAGACATTTTCGTGAATCCCGGCTGGAAACCCAGCTGTGTGTCCTGCGGGTAGGCCAAGGCGGGAGGGGGAGAAGGTGCCCTTTCACGGCTGTCCCACCTTCACGGCTGTCTCTCTCTTCGGCTCCAGCAGTGACATCGCCCTGCTGAAACTCTCCCACCGGCCCGTGCTGAATGACAAAGTCAGCCTGGCCTGCCTCCCCCCGCCAGACATGGTCCTGCCCAACGAATACCCTTGCTACATCACCGGCTGGGGACGTATTTCCAGTATGTGGGATGCTCTCCGCGCCGGGGCAGGGGGGGGGGCAGGGGTCTGCAGTGGGGCCTGGCAGGCAGGCCTGACCCTGTTTCCCTCCACAGCTGGGGGGCCTCTGCCTGCCAAGCTGCAGCAGGCTTTCCTGCCCGTGGTGGACTACGAGCATTGCAGTAAGCCCAACTGGTGGGGAGGCTCCGTCCGGCAGAGCATGATCTGCGCTGGGGGAGACATCCGATCCGGCTGCAACGTAAGTGGGGTGCCTGGAAGGAGGAACACCGTCTCTTTTCCTTAAATTTAAGGCAGGCTGCCTGGCTGCTCCACAGGCAAGCCCTACAGCAGTGGTTCTCAACCTTTTTAATGCCGTGACCCGCAACCGGTCGTAAGTCGAGGACTACTCAACCGGTCGCAAGTCGAGGACTACTCAACTGGTGCAGCACCGTTTGCAGAATGGGACTTTGGGCGGGCTCAGTAGGGCAGAGACAGCCTGGACAATTCCTATTGGCTTTTGAAAGCCAATAGAATGAGACTCTATTCAAGAGAGTCTCTTCGATTGGCTTTCAAAAGCCAATAGAATAAAAGGGAGGAGCACAGCTAAGGAAAAGGGGGGGGAAATGGCAGACTGCGTTGTTTGGCGACCCCCGTGAAATGGTCGTTCGACCCCAAATGGGATCCCGACCCACAGGTGGAGAACCGCTGCCCTACAGGCAGCCAACAGCAGGTTAAAACAAGAAAAACGGAATATAAATCTACAGAGGAAACCCCTTTCAAAGCAGGAAGGGATGGTGAATGCCGCCCTCTAGTGGCTGATGGGCGGTACTGACACTGTCAAACAAGTGGTTTTTGGGGCCGATTCTTCATATTTTTGTTAAGCTCTTTGGGCTCGGAAACTCCCGGAGCAGAGCAAGAGGTACCCCTTCCCCAGCTCAGAAGGACCCTCTAAACGTGGAGGCACCCAGCCCAAAGGAAAGCATTTAGACCGTAGACTTTTAAACTTGGCGACTTTTAAGAAGTGCGGGCGTCAACTCCCAGA